TATTATTTTTTGTTTCTTTACATTTATTAATATTTGAATAATGAATACATTCTTTATTTATTATTATATATTCATCTTCACATTTATTACATTCTTTCTCATTTAAACATGTCATACATTGTTTTCCACATTTTGAACATTCTTTATTTATTAAATAATATCCTGTTAAACATTCTCTACATCCATATTCTTTATCTATTTCTCCTTTACATCCTTTAATTGTTGTTGTTGATTTACATATTCCTGTTGAACTCATAAAATATCCTTCTCCACATATTATACATTTATCTTTTTGATTACATGTTAAACATTCTTTTTCATATTTTGAACATCCTTTCCCATTTCTATAATATCCTTTATGACATATTCCACATCCACTTCCATCTTGCAATATTTGTAAACATGTTCCATTTAATTCTTCATTTGATTGACATGTTTTATCATTTCTTAAATATTTATCATTAGAACAACTCATACAATATGTAGATGTTCCATAACATGTTTCACATTTATCATCACATTTTAAACATTTCATGTCTTTTGTTAAATAATATCCTTCTTTACATCTTTTACATCCATGTCCATTTTGTTCTTCACAATATTCTATTTTTGTATTAATACATTCTCCCTTCAAATTAGGTGAATATGTATTTAAACATTCAACACATTTTCCATTAACATATGATTTATTTAAACAATATTCAATATTATTATTACATTTTCCATTTTGATCTTTTATCATATTTTCTTCACATGTTTTATTTATACATTTATTATTATCTAAATATTCTTCATATTTACATTTTATTTCAATATCATTTGTTTGACATATTTCTGATTTTGAACATTCTATACATTTATTATTATTAATGTATTTTCCATTTTCACAATATATTTCTTCATTCTTTCCATTTTGATTCTTTTCTTTATTTGAACATTTTTTATTGTTTAATGTATATCCATTTGAACATGATACACATTTATTTCCTTCATAATAACATTGATCTTCTTTATCTCCATTACATTGATTATTTTGTATTTTATATCAATTTGAACATTTTAAACAATAATTTCTTTCTGATTTATTACATTTATTATCAATTTTTTTACATTCTCCTTTTTCTTTAATATATCCTTCTTTACATTGATAACAATATGTTTTATATCCCACAATACAATTATCTGGTAACAATTGACATTCTTTATTTGAATTTAAATAATATCCTTTTTCACATTGAATACATTCTTTTGTTTTTTCTTTATAAATCATCATATTACAATTCTTATATCCAATACTATCTAATGTTATTCCTTTCATTCCAATAATCATTATTTGACTTTTCTTTGTTGATGCTCTTGAAAATTCTATATTAGTTAAACTAGTTAATTGTTTTGAAGAAGATATAATTACTGTTGAAATTGATTTATCATTATTTTCTACTTCTTTAATTAATGTTGTTCCTTCATTTGATGATTCAATGTTAAAATGAATTTGATTATTTGATATGGCTCTTTCTTTCTACAAATATTGAATGTTATTTATTTGTTTATTCATACTTTAACCATTGATTAGGATATGTATATAATTTATGGGTTTTTGATGAACCATAGTTATTTCTAATAATATAATTATTTGTTGATAATGATAGTTGATAATTATAGTTAGTTAAAGATAGAGTAACCGTAACAATAAATAAATTGAAATCATTCTTCATCTTTTGTAAATTGATGATTACATTCTGTTGTTATATTGTCAATTTCAATATTATAATAACTAAAGTAATAAATCATTCCATTAATGTTTAATTGAAATATTTGCTATCTAATGATTTTAATGAATTGATTTTTTTTTATACAAAGATATCCATGCCATTACCTTATTTATATTAAATTAAAAATTAAGTTGGTAGTGTCCGAATTAATATAAGTACGTTGAATAGGTAAATGATAATTATATAACTTCATCACCTACCTAACTGACATATTACTTACTTTCCAGTTATTCTTGTTGGACCTTTCAATATAGAAGTTAAATTTAACTCTTTCAAATGAATTAATGCCATTGACTAATGAAGTTAAAACGTTGTTTCAATCTTATAAACAAGAGTTCAGAGCGTGTGCCTGAATCTTCTTCTAACTGTTTTTTAATTTTGTTTTTTGAGTGTACCACTTCTTGACCCAAAATAAAGCTGTACGTTACCATAAATTAAAATACTGATTGGTGAATAACGAGGAGTATAATCTTCTATTAATTTATTTGATGATAAAGTTGATCCATTGTATGGATTTATAGAATAAAATACAACACTTTCTCCATTATCATTTTTTTACAATATTACCAATACAAAGTGAGAAGAAAAAGAGAAATGATGAATAGTTAGTCAATTAAATATTTCAGTTCTTTTATTTTTATAAATAAAGTTTTATACTTTTAGTTTTTTTTAATAAATATATAGTTGTTATCCAAAGTATACATTTTATTTGTTTGTTATTCATATTGGAAATCGTCATAAATGCATAAATGAACTCATGTTGCGTAAGGTTCTTTTTACTCAGAGTTCTCAAACAAAATAAAAAATATAACCAAATAACACTAGTATTAATGATTTGTAAATTATAACATAAAATAATTTGTTAATAAACCTTTTATGCTGTTTAGTGTTATTCATCAACTACCAATTCGTGTTGGGGTTATTTAACTAAGTTTTTTAATTTCTCATTTATTTTTAACTTAGAGAAATTTCTTTTTAAAACTTTTGAAACGAATCAAGCGTTGTACCATTATTAGCTACTTTCAGAAATTCATTTTAATTTATTTTATTTTAGTTATACAATAAGAGAAATAGCATCTAGTTAGTATTAATAGAATAAAATAAAAAATAGAAAAGATGTTAAGATGATAATAAATTTATTTTTATAAAAGAAATAAAATGGAGTTTTCATTCTTTTCTTTATTATTTTTTTTTATTTTTTTTTTTGTTTTTGTATTTATAAAATAAAAATAAAACAATATATTCTTTTTATTTTTTATTTCTTGTTCTTTTCATTCATTTTCTACGTTTATGTGGTGTTGTGTATTATTATTTATTTATTATTTAGATTCCATGTTCTTTATTGTGAATCTTGTTTATTTAGAAATGGAATATACTGATAAATCATGATAATGAAAGAGAAGTGAATAACAAATATTTATAAAGTATTCTTCTTATTTTTAATAACATCCAATACATCAAATATATTATATTCAATATTAAAGATAAATAAATCAATACTTAACTTATTAACATCAAACATTGAATATTCATCATTTTAAATGAACATAAAAGTTGAACAAGATTACAAGAAATCAATAAAATAATAATTCATTAAGAATAAAATAAACATATTTCATTATCATCCAAATTATTAAATAACAAAATAAAATAATAACAATAATCTAATTATAAATCAAATAATTATATAATTTTCATATTTTATCTATTTCTATCTTTATATTACTCCTTTACTACAAATTTTAAAAACATCAAACAAACGGAAAATGAGACAAAAAATAATATTTTTTTATTAAAAATATTGTTTAAATAACAAATAATTAGTTTTTGTTGAAACATGAACATTCAAACTAAAAACAATACTTTAATTCTGTAATTAACACAAATTGAAATAGCGATAAAATTAAATTAATATTCATTATTTTATAGAAACTCTATTTAGTATTACAGTTACAAAACTTAAATTCTAATTCATCCAACAGTATCTAAGAACAAAGAAGTTTGAATATGATGTTAAAGAAAAATCTGTTACTGTAGTTAGAAAATCATTTGTAAGTTTGAATATATTAAAATATTAATTAATATTAATACTCTATCCGTATGTTTTTGTGTTTTTTTTAAATAAGTGAGTATAAAATCAAGAGAATGTTTAATCTTTTATCAATCACCAATTATCATTTTTAGTAATGGAACTTTTCTTGTTTCATTTCTTCTTTGTATATTTTTGTCATTTCAAAAGAATTCTCTAATTTCGTTTAGGAGTCATTTTGGACACTCAATCAAACCGATAAATAGTTTCAAGAACATAATATTACCATTCTTTAAATACTATACCAAACGAATTTGTAAAAGAAATATAAAACAATGAAAAAAGAAATTTAAATTCTAATTAATGTAATAGATAAACAAAGAATATTTCTAATAAAAACAATATAAAAGGGTGATTGGTTTTATGTTTATAATAAAAAGTACTATTCATTGTCTTATTATTTTTTTTGTTTGATGTGAACTTATACTATTTGAAATAATTTTTGTTAATAATAATGTATCTTATAGTTGTTCTAAAATAATAAAAAGTAAGAACAAAGCAGATTTTATACTCTACAACACTTCGTTTTTACTTTTGGGTACAACCCATCCCGAGACTTTTGGGGAAATATGAGAAAAGTGGCACAGATTCTCATTGGTATGAGCTATTTATAAAAATACAATTGAAATGGAAGTGAGAATGGTTATTCAAAATCACTTGTTTCGATAACTTTTGATTAATCACAATCTTATTATTATAAACATGATTAACATGCTTTGAACCTGTCTCTGTTATACTTGATGGAAATACATTCATTCAGAACCCAAGTAATGAAATAAGTAAGACAAAAGATAAGAAAATGAGAATAGTTAAATCACAAAGAATGGATAAGAAGTTTCCTAAAATCAGGATTTCATTAGAATCACTAGAAGAATTGAAAAAGATTAGAAGGGATACACAATGTAAATCATATTGTGAAGTAGTTGAGTTTCTAATTGACCACTATATTCAATCAAAAATAACAGAAGATTGTAAATAATATTACTTTTTATATTGGTTTATGATTTTAAATGAAACAAACCATAAAAAACATCACTGAGGAATTAAATCAATAACAACAATCTCTGGTGGACAATTCACTCTAAGTCCATAATGACTTCCTATTCCAGATGTCACATAAACTGGAATTGATGTTTGATTGTATTGTAAATGATATAATCCATGGATAACTTTCCATTTTTGTAAATCCAATAATCTCAAATACATAATTTTCCACCATCTCAACATCCATGCCTTGAAAAGTAATAATGGACAACCAATAAATGGGATAATGACTTGCCCACCATGAGTATGTCCACAAAATATTGCACTAATTTGAATATTTTGTTGATTAATATCATTCGATTCTGAAAAGATTGGGTCATTTAACACTGAAGGAGTATGAGACAATAAAATAATCTGTTGGTTTTGTGGTAGAACTAAAGTTGAATTATTTGTATAATAATCAATCCCAAAGAAGTGAATACAATCAAATACATATTCCTCGTTTAATAATATTGAAATACCAATAGATTGTAATGCTTTGATAATATCATCTGGTGGTCGAAGTTTAATGTCATGATTTCCGATAATTCCAATACATTTAAATTTATGCGCAACAAACTCAAAAGATTTAATAAAGAGTATAATGTCTTCATGAGCAAGTTGGATATAGTCCCCAAGAAAAATTACTAATTCAGGATTACTCTTAGCTAAGATAATTGAAAATTAAATAAAAGATGACTTATAAAAGAAAAAGAAAATTCCACATAGATTTGGAAACGAAAGGTCATTAATATAAAAGAACTAGATTCAAATAAATTAAGAAAAAAGTTAATAAAAACCAAAAAAAACCAAAAATGATTGACAAAACTCAAAACAGGAGATATTTAAACCAAAAACTGAGAAATCAAAAAGTGTTTTTGACTAAAACATATAAAAGTGATTATACTAAGATGAATGAATTTAACAGACGACGAACTAATTACAAGAAGACCAAAGACCAAAAGATAAAGAATAGATGTGATCGTTTTTATGCTATATATTACCAATCATCTTCTCCTCTTCTTGTAGATCTTTCACTTTTTTCTTCATTTAAAGAAGTTAACAAAGGAATAAATCAACCTACTGTAAAACCTAAACAGTTGGTTTCTTTTATGTTACCTAAAGCTTTTTCTTCTTAGATGATCAGATACAAAAAAAGGTAAAAAATTAATTAAAATTAAAAAGTTAAATTTATTTATTGTTCCGAAACACTTACAATATCACTCATCAACACAAACATATAAGTTAATAATAAGATTGGATTATTTTGTAACTGTTTATTTTTATAATATAATTCTACCATTTTTCTATTTGTTGCAGAACAACATTTTCTGAAATATACAGAAGAAACAGAACTATGGAATTGTGATAAACATTTTGAACATGTGAATAAAAGAACTCCTTGAAGTTCAAGTTCTTTATTAGAAACAAAAGGTTGAGTACAAAATAAACAACAGTTCATTTTTCTAAATGGATAAAGTAGATTTGACAAAGAACAATGAATAAAAGAGTTGTTTCTACAATCCTTACAACAATAAGCTTCATTAATAGATACATAAGCAGAAAGACATTTTTCATGATAATATCTATTACATCCATGACACATAACACAACTACTTCTTGGAAAACTCGAAATATTTTTGCATCTAGTACAAAATTGAGGTTCTTCAATAAAACTATTTAATGTTAATGACCCAGAATCTATTTTAATTAACTCAGCAATGATATGTGCAAAAAAATATTTTGCTGTCTTCATACTGTCACAACAATAAAATGTTAATTTCTCAAATGTAAACAACCTACGAGGTTGTGGAATTCCAGTAACTTTAAACTCATTTATTGGACTAAGAACTTTTACAGTATAACTTAATTCTGTTTGTTTTTCAAAACACCCCCACGCAAATACTAATAATGAAGTTATTCCATTTTCTGTTAATTCATCTCCAAATAAAATAACATCACCTGGATGAACATCATCTCCATATTCTACAGTAACTGGTTTGGAACTACTTTGAAATAAACAATGTACGCTTTGAAGATATCGTTTAATTCCACCAACAGAAGTACAAATAATAATTCTAAATGTTCCTAAATTACTTTGAGATTGTCGTTGAATAGTTGAAAAGATTAAATTCATTGAACGATAATATGATACTAACGACTCTCTTGTTTCTTTTAATATTTCATTAATATCAGTTTCTTTATCAGGTGTTGAAGAATAATACTCAAATTGGTCATAGAGAAATGATTTAGCTAATGAAAAAGAAAAATGTGTTATTGGATATAAATTAATTGGATGTTGTTCTTTAAATTTTAACATTTCTTGTTTTAATGAAAGTATTTCATTTTTATATTTTACTGTAAACAAAGTTCCATTAACATGAGTTCGTTGTTTAACTGAATATTCTAAAGGAAACATTTCTTGAATAATTTCACCAATTTCAGTGTCTTCTGTACTAACAGCACTTTCAGTATCACTTGAGTTGGGCTGTACTTTATGCATTGTTGTTTATCTTCTTATTTTTTAGTTCCTATTTACTAACAAATAGTTTTAATATTTTTGTTTTAATTCTTTTTTATTTATCTTATATTTTGAATTAATTTATAACAATCAATGAAAAGAAAGGACAATCATATTTAGGAATATAGTTTGACTAAAAAAGAATATCAATTTTAATGAACAGTGTTTCTTTGGAAACTCCATTGGTGAAGTTTACATTTTCTAATGGGTCATTATGTTGTGATGACTCTCAATTAAGAGATACTCTCAAAGAACTTATTCTAAGATATGGTAACAACATAACTAATGAAAGCACTACTGATTATGAAGATGATATTATTGGAACTCCACCATTAAGTCATTCTGTATATTATCCGACAATGAAAGAAATAATAGAACATGAAACTAAAAAGAAATACTGTGACAAAATCAGACATAAAAGACTGGATGAAAAAATTAAAGAGGCTCAATATTCTATATTCTATACTAGGTATTCCTCAATTGAGGAGTTCTTATCGAGTGTTTACCTTTAAATAAAGTCTTTTGTTCTCAAATTAAATTTATTCTTAAAAAAAGTAAAAAATTCATTCAATTTAAAACATAAAGTTCACAAAAAGAATTCTGGTACAACTACTTTTGCAGTTAATTTATGTTGGTCTGGAGGGCATTCTTTGAAAAAAGTGAAAACAGGGTCATCAATAACTGATCTTAAGTTCATAACACATGCATCATTTCCACAACGATAACAATAATTTGGAGCTGACCATACAGTAACAATTTTTTTATTAAACATCCATTTGTATCCATCTTGAATTAATTGATGAGCCCGACACACAAAATCTAGTCCATTTTTATCATTAAATTCAAGTAATGGTTTTTCTCCAAAAAGATGACCAGCTCCACGAGGAGATTCTTCCCATTCAATTCCACTTTCATCAGGATCAGACCATAACAAATCACACATAACACCTTCATGAGGTACTTCTACTTTTCTATCAATTTTACGAATATCATCTAAATTATGACACATAGGTGAAAGTCCTCCATGAGTACAAAATATTCTATTATTAATCAATGCACCAAGTGTAAGAAAATCAAATAAATCAGTGCAATTCTTCCAAACATTTGATGTTCCATACTTTCTTTGACATTCATCGTAAAATCCATATATTTGAGTAATTGCCCTACTTTCATGATTACCACGGATTAAGTATATTTTATCCGGATATTTTACTTTTAGAGCAACCAATAATAAAAATGTCTCAACAGAATTGAACCCTCTATCAACATAATCACCTAAAAATATATATTTAGTTGATGGTGGTTTACCTGCAACTGCAAAAAGTTGTAATAAATCCCAAAATTGTCCGTGAATATCTCCACAAATTGTAATTGGTGTTTCAAGGTTGATAATATTACCTTCTTGACATACTATTTCTCTACATTTATCACATAAATCCTCAACATTCATCTCAGTAATTGGTTCTCCTTTCCATAGCTTTTCAAGGATTTTGTCAATATCAAATGGCTCATTACTTTCATTTGAGCCATATCCCATCATCTCAATATCCATCTTTTTTTTATCTCAAATTTTTAAGATTTTTATATTCTCCTTTTTTTTTTTCTCTCAATATTACTTTTTTCTAGTTCTTTTATGTCATAAAATTTTTCATTCTTCATTTATTAAACGCATTAAGTTTTATTTAAATACAATAAGTTTCATTAACAAATTATAATAACAGAAAAAAGTATAATAAAAAAGTGATAGTATCAAATAACTAAGATAATAGGAAAAAAAGTAACCTAAGAAAGACTTTACTCAAATAATAAAAAATTTTAAAATAAATTTTTATTTAAGAAAAATAAATTTTTGTTTTTGAAAAAGAGAAAAAAAAAGAAACTAAAAAACAAAATCAAAAAACTTCAGTTCAAATAATGTCAATCAATAGTAAATTTTCACCTGAAATTCCTGTAGACACATTATTCCATTTTGCTGATGTTGATGGAGATGGGATGATTGGTGGTTCTGATGCTTTATTTTTCTTTCAATACACCAAGTTACCCATGAATATTTTATCTAAAATCTGGAGCTTATCAGTTCCTCCAAAAAAACCGATGTATCTCTCTGAATTTGCTAAGGCACTAGTATTGATTTATTATGCACAACAAAACCAACCAATTTCAAATGAATTATTTACTAAACTACCACCTTACAACTCCCCTATAATTGATATTCCTTTCTTCTTAAAAGAAGACCAAATTAAACACGCTGATAATTTATTCACTTCATTAATTAACACTGATCATATTACAGTAACTAAAGACGTTTTTGCTGAAAAAGTTTTAGCTCAATATAGTGGTGTATTAACAATTGATGATATTATGAAAATTACAGCAAAAACAAATCCTAATGAACTTGATAGAAATGAATTTCTTTTGGCTTTAGCACTATTAAAAAATCAAAAAGCTGGTTTCCCAGTTCCAAAAACGATTCCCTCTTATTTTAATACATATGTTAATACTTTTAAATATCATACACCTCAACCTTCCACACCAATTATTGGCTCTACAGTTGGTTCTCCTGCTGTTGAAAAACCTACAGAACATATTTCATTAACACAAAAAGAATTACCAAAAATACCAACAAAAGCAATTCCTCCACTTCCAGAAAAAGTTATTTCTACAGAAAAGGTGATAGAACATAAAGAAAGTACTAACCCACCTTCAGAAGTATCAACAACACAAAATTGCGAAGAAAAAAAAGAAGAAATTAAAACTCCAAAATCTTCTAAAGAAATTAAAGAAGAAAAGAAAAAAGCTGAAGAATTAAAAAAAGAAGAGGAAAAAAAGAAAAAAGAAGCATTGAAAGAAGAAGAACGTAGAAAGAAGGAAGAAAAGAAGAGAGCTGAAGAACTAAGAAAAGAAGAAGAACGTAAGAAAAAAGAAGAGAAAAAAGAAGAAGAACGAAGAAAAAAAGAAGAAAAGAAAAATAAAAAAAGTCAGAAAGAAATCAAAGAAGAGTCTCATCCAGAAGAACATTTAAACGAAGATAAAGATGAACACAAAAGTGATGAGAATGAAGAAATCAAAAAAGAAGAAACTAGTACTAAACAGGAAATATTTAACACATTTTCATTTGACCAACCAATTGAAAATAAAATACCAACCTCTATTGTAAAAAGTAAAAAAACAGAAGAGTTATTTAGTTTTGGTGATGCATTTAATTTTGATGCAACGGAAAATAAAGAAAGTAATCATGAACAAATAAATCCAATTACTAGTCAAAAAACTCAACCACTCGAAGTTATTCCTAATAAAACACAAGAAGAAAAGGTATCTTCTGGAATTAATTTTGATACATTTTCATTTGATACTCCTGTTACTGTCAACAATATTCCTTCTTCAGTTGTTAAATCAAGTAATTCTAATGTCTTTTCATTTGAAACAGAGACAACAAAAGACAAAGAAGAAGAGGAACAACAAAAAAACCCAGAAATTGATTTTGAAGAAATTAATAAAAAATTAGAAGAGATTAAAAAGGAAGAAGGACAATGCAGTAATGAAATTCAAGAAAAGATGAATCAAATTGAACAACTTCAAAAAGATATCAAAGAATTAGAAATGAAAAAAAGAGAACTTACTAAAAAGAAACAAGAGCTTGAAACTAAGCTTGGCCAAAATAAAACAATTGGAAAAGAAGAAAAAGGAGCAATTAAAGGAATTCCAATTTCTGAACAAACTAAAGAAAGTGTTACTCCTGAAGAAGAAAAAAAAATGGTATTTGGTAAAAATTTTAATAAAAATGCTTACGGATTTAAAGGAAATCCTTTTGTGTTCCCAATTCCAAATGAAGAACCAACAGTTCCATATTCGTCAATGTTTGAAGGTATCATTTAATTGACTGTTTCTAATTCATTTTAAATAGAAAGAAATAATTAAATACACATAATAGGGGGAAGTAAAACCAAGTTTAGCATTAATAAAGTAAATATAAACAGAAAAGATAAATAATGATATAAATTTATTTTAAGTAAAGGCATTAAAATGGAGTTTTCATTCTTTTCTTTATTATTTTTTATTTTATTTTTATGATTGTTTTACAATACCCTTTCTTCAATTAAAAAATAAAAAGAAATAATTACATTCATTTATTCTTTCTTTAGTTCTTATTCGTTTATTCCTTTTATGTTAATTTGTACGTTAATTTGATGTTGTGTAATATAAATTATTTATTAATTATTTAGAATTTTATTTAATCTATTCCATGAGTGTAAAGTAAATCATTTTGTACTTTAGATTGTTTTAATTGATGAAAATATGAGGTGTTAATACTTCTTTTATCTTCATTATTTATTCTAATTGCAGACTCTAATTTAACAATTACTCTCCTATCTTTCCGGTTATACACAGGACAATGCTATATTGTTTAAAAATGATTTAATTAATGCAGGGACAGCATTTAAACTCATTGTTTTCATGATATTTTTCATATGGTTAGTTATTAATTCTCTTTGTTTTTATTGTTTATTATCCGTTGTTGTATCAATTAAATCATTCATTTTTATTTCATCCATATTCAAATATGATATACTTCATAATTATAATGAATTACAATTTGAAATGCTGATTGATGATTGTACTTCATTAATTAAATTAATATTATTCACTCTGATTTAATTTTTAATTGTTAAATAATACTAAGTCAATTTGTTAAACACTGTGAGGTAGTGATATAATAATGAATAATGACACTATGATAAATAAATAATGAATATCAATACGTTATTCAAAGTATTTTATTATTATTTTATTATTATGATAACCACAATTAGTTCATTCATAATAATGTATTGAATGATTTTATTTGATATCATTTTATAAAATATATTCATTATTATAATTTGTTTCATTTAAAAATGTAATATATTGATAAATTATGATATTCAGATAGAATTGAACTATCAAATGTTTTACAATATATTACAAAATTAATATAAATAAATTTACTATCAACACAAATACAAATTATTATACTTTTTGATAGTCTTGATGTTCATTATTTTATAGATTCTTTATATTCAGATAAATATACTTTTATTGACTTCTTATCACTCCAATCATTGAAACATATTTCTTAACATTAAATTATAACTTTGACTAAATGTCATTACAAAATGATATAAAACAATACAGATATTAGCATTTTCATTATATTTAATATTCATTATATAACATCTGTGTTATGTTATAATATGTAAAATAAAAAAATAAAATTAAATGATAATTAAATCATTTATTAATAATGTTAATATCTTATTTCATATTTAATGATTCATTTCTTATTAATAAAATAAGAATTACTAATTTAGAATTAACATATTCATTAATTAGATTTATTAAATCAAAGCATATTTCTTTATTAATTTTTCATTTACAATGTTTTATTTATCTTGACACATTCTCTTAATAATACTTAATATATTTCAATATATTTCAATACGTATTAATGATAATTAAATCAATATTTAATTCATTCATCCTAATATTAAAATAACTTAATAATGAACAAATAAAGACATTTCATTTAAATTAAATATAATATAATTAAATGACTCTTTAGAACAAAAATTATTTTAGTTTAGTTAATGGATTCATGAGATGAGAATAAAAATAAATAATGATAAGATTTATTGAAAAATGATATATTTCATTATCTTTCAAAATAACAATTAACAAAATAAAAAATAAGATAAAAATTGAGAAATAAAGTATAATATAAATATAATAAAATAATTATAGTTTTTTTCTAACATCTTTCTTTTTTACGTTTTGGTTCTATTATAATAATAAAAGAAAAGACTATAAAAAATAATTTTTTAACAAAGAATTTTAAACAAATATCTTTCAATGGATAACCATCAATTAGCCTTAATTTTATATAAGGAAATTCAAGACCTTCAAGGACCTGACTTAAAGCAAAAAATAATGAAGTTCAAAGAGTCATTAACATCAACTCATATCATTCATCAGCTCGTTTCAATGGGAATTTTTAACGTAATTCTTTCATATTTTCCTTCACTACCATATGAAACTCTTCAAATAATAGAGTTATTAATAAAAGATAGAGAAACTGCTCAAAGTTTTATTAACTCTTCTTTTTATGAAGAGTTTCTTCCCCTTATAAATGAACAAACACAACCAGAAATTATTATTTCTTTTTTAAGAGCCATTCGTTTAGTTACAAGATATACAAAAACAAATCCAGATATAATCATACCATTTATCTTTAATTTCATTAAACCTCAATATATTGATTCAATTGAAATTCTTAATAACTTTTTATCTTATCACATTCAAATATCTGATCCAGCTTCATTAGAGTCTTTAGTTGGTAAATTTATTCATACTAATCAACCTAATGATTATGTTTTATCAATTTATTATAATATATTTACAACAGGGGAAGATGCACTAGTTCATATTGATGACTTAATCAAAATACTTCCAAGAAGTGAACAAACTAAAACATTTGTTGTTGGTATTTTCACTAAAATTTTAGCAGGTTATTTGTCAGAGAAGAAAACAACGGATGAAACAAAACTAAATGAATGTATCATGAAGTTATTATCTTCAAATGTCTTAAATCAAATATCTTCATTTCTTAGTGACAGTTATAATATTACAATGATCTCTTTTATATTAACTTATTTTGAATTTGTTTCTAGTGATTATAGAGGAATTAGTTATATTAAAATGAGTAATGCATTACATGATATTGTTATATTACTTGAAAGTACATTTATTTCAATGAGATGCTATGAGAAGATATTTAACATTATGACAAATTGTTCAACAGACAATACATTATACTTTGGATTTAGATCATTAAATGTAATTAGATATATCTCTGACATTATTGAAATGAGGAATATTAAAGAACCAAATGCTATAAATGCAGCATATAAGGTTTTATTTGCTTATATGAATCCAGATGATTATTCATTACTCACATATATTATTAATAGAAATGACTTAAATAATATAATTTGGTTATGTGTTATTGCTAAAACTGAAATACCAAGACGACATATTGCAGAAAACTTAATTAAGTATTTAAATAATGATACATTATATATAATTGTTGATTGTATCATTAAATATTTTAATTCAATAGTAAAATTAAAAGAAGAATTAAAAAAAGAATTTAAAAAAGAAGAAGAAAGTTGTTGTGAAATATTATTTTCATCTATAATAAAAGGGTATCAGGTAAACCAAATAACATACTTATTTACTCAATACAATATTAAAATAGAAGATAAATGGATAGAAAATATTGATGTGGATTCATTTTTTATAACAATCCAAAAGAGTAATATTCCTACAATTCAGTTAATTAAATTTTATACTTTATTATTGTCATCACCACTATTAAATAATAACATCATCTTATTAAACACAATATTTGAAATTAATGATAATAGTGATGTCTCTATACAAAAAGAAATTATTAATTTCTTTATTTTGGCTATTCAAACAGCTGCTATTGATCTTATTGATGATTTGGATTGGATAGATTTTCTTTTCACTAAATTTAGTTCTGTACCACAACTCAATCAACAATTAATTCAATTTCTAACAATATATAACCATGCTAAACCATTTAAGAATGAATTTAAATTAAAAGTATTAAATTTTCTAACTTTATTACTTGATACAAATCAAACTGAAGAATGTTGTTCTTTAATAACAGAACTTTCAAATTAAAATGAAAGAAAGATCCAAAAAAAAGAAATCATTTCAATTGAATAATTTTGATTATGTTTGTTAATTAAAATATTATTTGTGTAAATTACTCATATCATTTTTTAGCCACCATGATGAGAAGTGCTGAGATACAATAAATTCTGAATACCATTGTTTTGTATTATCATTTATTGATAATGGAAATGTTTCTTGGAAGTGTTTTAATTCAATAGGACCATTTTGTTTACAATAAACTGTAATTCTCCCAATAATTTTATTAAAGAAATGTTCATTTAAAGATTTTAATACTTCTTGTGCAAATTCACTTGATTTATTATTTTTAACAATTTCATTAATTCGTTCTTCATAAGTAGTTAATATAAGTACATTACTTAAATATTTATTAGTTATTCTTTTTAATTCAAGATATACCTCTTCAAAATATGGAATTGGTAATGGCATCTTTTCATTGTTTACAAAAATTCTATCAATACTCTCCATTATTCCTAATGGCTCTACAGGTGCAACAAATGCTGAAACATTTACTCTTTCTGTTGGAAGTTCTGTTCCATAAATGCTAGGAATAGGAGATTCTAAAAATTCATAAAGATGAGATGGGATATAAGGAAGTACAACTCCTTCCCATTGAAATGGTTGAATTAAAGGAAGTAGTGCTAATACACAATCTGTTACTAAGGAGACATTTTTTCCAATAAGAAATACAGATACATTTAATAATAAACTAGATACCATTGAGAGAATTCCTGATATTTTTGTTACTGCAAATAAACGAATAATAGCATGGTCTGCAATTAATTCTATTGGTGATTTAGTTGCAACTAAATTATTTAATGATTTTAATATAGGAAATAACCTTTCAGAAGATGATTGATATTTAAATGATGGAATTAAAGGTACTGTTTTTAAATAGAATTGTTTTAACCACTGATCTTTAAGACTAAAATCTAAAGCAAAAAGGTCTTTAATAATTGGGGATAACACTGATATATCTGGGCAATGTGTCATAATACAATAAACTCTAGTAGTCTCTAATGGTTGACTTGAATAAATACTTGACATACTTGTTTCTTCTACTAAATCACTAGGAAATTGAAGTAATTCTCTACGAGTAATACAGATACAGAACAATGGATCGTCCCCTGGAATAAAAGTAATGTGAATGCCTAAAGGTGAATTTAAAATAGTTTCAATATTTTCAGCAACTTTTAATTCAATTCCTTTAGGAATCATAAATTCTTGAATTTTTTCATTTATTATTGTTTCTTTTGGATATTTAAATAATAGCTGTGATGGAAATATTTGTACTTTACGGAAAAAATTAAATGGTTTTGTTACTCGAAATTTTGATGGTAATCCCCAAATTGAAAAACTCTCAACAACTTTTCCTGGAGCAACGTTTAACGCTTGCTGAATTGGACTATGATGTTCCATTGCTAGTATCTAAATATACAAGTTTTAAGTTCTTTTATTACTTAGAAGAAATAACTTTTTTATTAATAAAATGTTATATATTCCATTTTACATTAAATTTTCTTTAATAAAAAAATCTTAAAAAAAATTAAAAATCTGATGAAATACGAAGATTAAAATTAAATGGAGGGAATACTTCTTTTGGTCATAGCTGAAATGGTTATGGTCGCCATATTTGGTGTTGTTTTAATTCTCACATGTGTAAATAAACCCAAACAAAAACTCAGCGAATATGGAAAAGTAGAATCAAATATATCTCTTCGTCCCGAATTAACATTCAACGAGGTGTGTCAAAAAATTAATACCTTACATGCAAAACCAATTTTAAAAACATCAATTGGTATTGATGTACCTCGTTTGGCAACAAAAATAATTATTAAAAAATCTAATAAAATTATATTAAGTGGTGCAGAAATATTTAATAAATATGAAAAAGAAAAGTACTCTGCCGAACTTACTGTTAGAGAAGTTGTTAGTAAAATGATTGAATTACTTGATGGAAATGATATGAAAGAATATTTTGAACAGACATTTGAAGATTCATTTAATTATATCAGAACTAAAACAGAAGGAGATGTTAGTAGTTGTTTTAAGAAGTTATTACCAATAGTGTTTTCTGAAGATTGCTTAACTGTATCAGTTATGAAAACATTTACACAAGCACTGTTTGCTGCAGCAGTAGAATATTTACTTCCATTTAGAAGAAGACACCAATATCATGATGGATATACTGGATGGAATATTGAAGTTATAATTGAATCACAAGAAATTAATATTAAACATACGAAAGGAGAAACATCATATGAAGAAAATGGTTTTAATTTTGAATGGTGTTTAATATATAAAATAGATAGAATTAACAAAAGAATAATTTCATTAGATTTACAAATTGATAATGTTCAATTTAATAATTATCCAAATGACCTTCGTGAAGACTTTATAATTTGTAAAGATAAAATTAATGCTGAATGTCATTTAAAGGAATTAAATTAATGAATACACTTTCCTTTTATATCTTTGTCTTCTTGTAATTGAGTTATTATTAACTGAATTAGTATAGAAAATATAATACAACCAAAACAAAAAAAGGTGACAGTGACTTAATAGCGTTGATTAATAAATGGTGCTGAGGCAACAAAATGTACTTCATCAAAGTTTTGTTTTCCAGTTGATTTATTAACGTATTGATAATCAAAACCATCAACCATATTTTTAAGATAACTAGAATCATCCCAATCAATATCATAATAAATGCAATTAAACCCACCAAAATAGGATTGATGTTGTTCAACGATATCATAAGGGAAGAAATAATATCCACAATAATCTTCATTTGGTTTTAATTTTTGTAATTGTGAATCAATTGGAGTATAATATAATGCAATAACTTGAGTTGGAAGAGCATGATAACATAAATCAATATGTGAATTATCAAGAGAATTAACTCGAATCATACAAATATCAAAATATCTTCCATTTGGTTGTTTTTGAGATGGAAGTAATGATTTCATGAAATATCTATAAACTGGATCAGTTGAACAAATCTTTTCATTAACACATTTAAATTCATATGGTCTATTACTAATTGACATCCAATATTCATTTTCTGTATTATTTTCATAACAATTACCATAACAAGTATCCCAATTTAATGGATCTTGTGCATTAGGACAAATTAATAATTCTTCTTCATATGATATTTCTCCCATAAAATATTCAATTGAATGACTTCCACGTGCATTTCTACCAGTTGATCCTGGATAATTACCATAAATTGTATCATTCCATGAATTCTTTAATATAAATCCTCCTTTAAATCCTGCTTTAGTAACAAATTCATCATTATATCCAACCATAACCATTCCATGTCCACCTGCCATTTGCATTTCTTCATGTCTATCAAATTCTGCATCAGGAGTATACATTGGTAATGTAATTTTAACACAATTATCATTACCATATTTAATTGGACATTTAATTATTTCATATAATCCTGAATTACAAAGATCAGAATATTCAGTACAAGGGAAATATTCAAAATCATCATGAATTAATGATGTCCATGCTAATGCTCTTTTTCCTTTTTGAATAAATAATTTTTTAACATCATCAACAGTAGTAGCAATATTCATTTTTGTTACATTAAATTTGATTGGATTTGTTTTTGTAGCTTCTTCCATTTTATTACAAACAAATTCATCTACATCAGTAGGAGTATAAGGACAAACAGAATCTGGTAAAATTTGATTATATAATCCTGGGAATGAATAAAACCAATTGATTTCTCCTCCTGATGTTGAATTAAGTAATAATGAATCTCCTGGTGTATTACATACATCTGGATGTTCTTTACAATGTTCTACCATTCGAATACCTAATACTTGTGTAGAAAATCTAACGTATTCATTTTCTTCAAGAAATCCTTTAGCAATACCATTTTGTCTATAATTATCTTCTAAAAATCCAATTAATGCAAAATCCCAACATGTTCCTCTCTCCATTTGATAATAACGTGGATTTCCATGTGGAATTCTTGCTTTAGGTGGAATTGTTATTTTACTACTTTCATCATTTAAGTATGTAGACGCAATATCAGTTACACTTCCTACTGACTTTTCAAATGATGCTACTATCTCATTCTCTTTGATAAATGGTGCAAATCTAAAATATAACATTACTCCAAATTGTATCATCAATACTAAAAATATTAAAATCACTGCAACTTTTTGTGTAATTGGAAATGCAGATAATTTGCTTAAGAACATGTTCCCCATGATATTAAATATTAAGTTCTTTCATTACTATTTTTTAGTTTTGGATTTTTCATTCGTATTTGAATTTTAAATAAACATATTCCACACTCTTTATTTTTTTTTTGTTTTATATAACGATTGTTAATTTATAATTTTTTTTGATAAAAGAAACCCTGAAAATATCTTTTGGAAAAGTCAAGAAATACTCTTTATCCTTTTTTATTAGAAATTCATATCTCTTTTTTAGTCAATGAATTCGTGATAATGGGAGATTTCTTTTTGCCCTAAAAGGAACTTGAATTTAAAGTTATTACATTTCTTTTACTGAATGTCTGATCCATTTAATGATTATTCTCAAAATAATGAAACTAATTCCGATTATCAACCAACTTCACTATCCTGTAGTGTTCCAATACTTTCAATTTTAGCTACTGTTTTTGGTTGGATTGGAGGAATTATTATTTTCTTCCTTGAAAAACAAAATGTATATGTTCGTGCTGTTGCTCTTCAATCTTTCATTATAAATGGTATTGTTTTTATGATTACTCTTTTCTTCCTTATTTTCTATTGGGCAGGATTGTTCTTTGTTGTTTGTTTCTGGATTATGTTCGTTGTTGCTATTTTGGTAATAATTATTCTTGTTGTTCTTGCTTTTATTAAAGCTAAATCAGGAGTATTCCTTGGAGTTCCATTCCTTGACAAATGGATCCTTAAAATTGCTAATCACTAATTATTCTTTAGTTAATTGAATCTCAATTAAATTTATTACTTATGTTCTAAATAACAAAAGTGTTAAAAAGAAAGAATAAAATTTATAATAATGAATTTTCGTTAGTAAATAAACTATTTTGGAAGGAAATAGTTGTTGAATCTTCAGTTGTTTGAAATGTTTTTGGTTTAAAAGACATAAATTTTTCATTTTGAGTTGAGTGTGTCAATTTTGGGTGACTTTGTTTTGGTAGAGGAGGTGGTACTTTCTTTTTAGTTTGAAGAGAAAGTAATACAACTTCATCTTGTGAGGGACGTTTTTCTGGTAAAGGAGGTGGAACATCTTTTTCCATAACGTCCAATGGAGATAAATGAACTTGTTCAATAATTTTAGAGTGTAATTCTTCAATTTCATCGCTTACTTTTTCTGCAGGTCTAAAAAAGAATTTCATCATAAAATTTGGTGGAAGTCCCATTTGATTTCTATTAACTCCTTCAGTTGGGTCTTGAAGTTTATCAATTCCCATAGAATAAATATAATTTGCGTCAATAAAAAAAGCAGGAAGTAATATTTTTCCTAATACCACTATTTTATCTTTAATTTCTACAGTTAAAATAACCATTTGGTCATTAACTATTTGTCTATCTGTGAATGAAATAATAAAAGATCCATCTCCAGTTTGAACCCATTTTTGTGGATATTTACAAAGTTGTGGTTTTGGTTCTGAGTGAGATAAAGGTGTAAAATAAAGAACTGGATGTGCCGTGTCATTAAAATCACGTGGAACTATACAATGTTTAAATTCATTGAATGTAACACTTTTTAATTGAACCTTATAATTAGGTATTGGAGTATATGGAATTGTATTGTTAAATACTTTCATATAATAATCAAAAGCATAACAATATCTAACTTGGGGAGGAGACGTTGATCCTTTATTTATTTTTGATCTTCTTTTTGCAAAGAATTCCATAGCTTCTTTTGCATTTGAATAAATCCCAAGTCCTATTAATACACATGAACAAACTAATCCAGTTCTTCCTCTTCCTGCTTTACAATGAACACAAGCAACATTATTTGGATCGCTTTGTAAAAAATTTACAATCTCACCAACTACTTTAAGTAAATGATTAAAACGAGGAGGATGATGATCCAAAAATCCAACGTGTTGAACTCTATTTTCAAATTCAAGTGAAGAGTATGACTTTTCTGTTAAGTTCCAAATCATATAATGGTGTGGGTGATGTTGATTTAAATATTCTGCAATTTCATTTTTAGAATTTCTCCATTGTTTCGTAATGCCTGTAGTAGGTATTCCCATAGCAATAAGGTTAGGAAGGATATAAGTGAGGTCATAATATGTTCCGTTAATAGTTGTAATGTTTTTATCTTCAGCTACTATTTTTCTTAACATAATTTATTTGTGATTTTATTCTAAGTTTTATTTAGTTATTAACTATGTTTTAATAACAAATTTTTTATTAAAACTATGAGTTTTTTATTTTTTGAAATAACATAAAATATTATTAAAATCAAAAAATAATAATAAAATTTTGTTATGTAAAAAAATAAAAAAAAGAGAGAAAAAAAAAAGAATTAAATACAAAATGAGTTTGATGAACCCACAACAATTCATAACATTTTGTGAAGAATTATACACAACTCCTAATAACCAAAGAAGGAAAGAGCTTATAGGGGTATTGCCTATTTCATTAGAAAAGAAAGAGGATCTTTCAGATTATCTTTCATTATTACTTCAAACTGATAATGTTTATGCACAACAATATATCATATCATTAATACTTAACTCATTTAAATTAAATCCGTCAACTTTTTTATCTAGTTCTAATGATATACAAACAACTCTTTTAAAAGTGATTCAAAAAAGTACAACCCAAGGATTTATTGCAAGGTCGTGTTACAATTTGTTTTCTATTACTGTGGTTTATTCATGGAAAAACCCAGATAATTCAGAAATATTTTTATCAACCATTAGAGCATTAATTAATTCACTAAAACCAGTATTAATAAACATTTCAGTTCATTTAATATTTTGTGTATTAGATGGAGCACAAAGTAATTTTTCGAAAATGAATTTAGAGAAAAATCAAATATCAAAAATTAAAACAACAGTTATATTTGAATTAATGAAGTTATTAATTTCCCTTATAAAATCTGTTCAACTTATTCCTAATAATGAAGAATTAATTAAAACTATATTAAATTCATTAAATTCAGGAATTGGGTTATGCCATTCTTGGCATTATGATGAAGAAGATGTTAATTGGATTCATTTACCTGAAAAGATTTATATTATTGTTCAAGATGCAGAATTTTATCAGAAATTAATTGAAATATATGGTGTTTTTGCTTCTACAATAACTTCATCTGTAGTAATGGAATTATTTTTTGTTCTTGCATCGTTAAGACAAATTAATGTTCCTAATGCAATGAGTAAGCAAAGAGCAATTGAATTATTATCATTATTTATTCAATCAGTAATTGATAAAGAAATAGGATTATATACAAATGATAATTTTGTACTTACATGTCGTTTTTTAATGAAATTTAGAACAACTCAACTTACAGGATCAACAACAACTACTGAATGGTTAAAGTCAGTTAGTAGATTTACTATTAAAGTGTTTCAAAGTAATAATATGGTATGTATTTCTAATATGTTAAGTTTTTGGATGAAATATACATCATCAATGTTTAGATATCCAGAAAAAGTACAAGAATGGAATATAATAATTAATGAAATATGTCAAGTTTTTATTCAATCAATGATATCAAAAGAAGAGTATTACTTTACTCATGACCCAAGTGAAGATCCTCTTCTGAATGAAGAACAAATTCAATTAATTTATGAAACTTATGGACCAATTGCAAGATATTCTTATGAATCATTTTATAGATATGTTAAGTCAATATTTAATAAAACAATTCAAGAATTTGCAACATTATGTTCTGCTCCATTAACAGAACAAAACAATATAAAAAAGAATATTGTTTCAGGTCAAATTGCTTTTATTATTGAAATGGTTGTTGGAGTATTAAAAGCTAAGTTAATGATGGCAACCGATTCATTATCTATGAAATTAGACACATCTATATCTAATATAATTTTTCCATTTGTTATTCAATATAATCATTATATTCAACGAGCTGGATATATTAAAGATATCAAAGAGATGGAACCAAGTGGAGATTTTAGGTTACAAAAGGCATGTATTAATTTTATGACAGTATTTAGAACTACATTAATTGCAAAAAATTCTGTTTATAGTTTAAGTCAAATGGAAGTAGAAAGAATTGCAACAACAGAAGACTTCTTAAAATTTTATCTTGAAATGGTTTCAACAATATTAAATGAATGGAGACATTCAGTAGTAATTATTACTAAATGTTTAGAATTATTTACAGTTATAAGTTCATCATCATTATTTAATTATCAATTATTTAAATTTGAGATGGTAAGAAATATGGTAAGTCAAAATCATATTTCATTATTATCTAATTTTAAAGGAACACCAAAACAATTAAAAAAAATACACTTTGAATTATATAGAACATTAGGAACAATTTTATTTAATTGTAGGTTATCAATTTATTTACCTTTATTCTTAAAACAATTTATACCAATCATTGAACAAATTCAATTATATATCAAACAACCAAATTCAAATTTTGATACTTCTATTATATTTACTTTATTTACTGATTTACGTTCTGTTATAATAACGTCAAAAGATTGTGAAACTGTTCCTATGTGTTTATATGATTTTCTTATTGTTCATATTTTTCCTTTAATAACTCCATTAATTTCTTTATTACAAAGAACACCAATTCTTCTTATTCCCCTATTACGTTTACTTAGTGATATTGCTTCAAGTAAAAATTTTCAAGAAAATTTCCCAATAGAATCACCTAATTGTATGAGAATATTTAAAGGAATAACTATGGCTACTGCATCCTTATGTAATTCATTTATTCAAAATTTAAATAAAACTTATCAAAATCCTTATTTAGAATGTTTTAAACCAATTTGCCTTTGTTTAAGAGCTATGTCAGAATGTTTTAAATGTAATTTGGTTAATTTTGCAATATTTCAAATGTATCAAGATAACAGTGTTGTAGAAACATTAAATGCTGTTCTTGATACTGCTTTAAGAATACCATTTAATGCATTAGAGGAATATCCAAAAATAGTTAAAGGAGTTTATTCATTTATAGATAGTTTATCATTAATCTGTAATTCAAATGTATTAATATTTACTGATAAAGATTTACTTAATATTCTTCAATTAGTCATTAATGGAATGAAAATGAAAAATGGAGACATAATTTTAAATTGTTCTCATTTTCTTAATGGATTATTAGATGCTATTTATTCTTCTATTAAAAGAAAAAGTTTTGGAATAGATAAACTTATTCAAATTTGTTCAAATAGTTTTGAACCAATACTTTGGATTTGTTTCGATAATATTTTAAATGACTTTGATATTTGGGCATTATCTAGACCTATTCAATTAATTTTCTTATTAAGGCCTAATTCTTTTGATACTTTAATGCTTGCATTAACAAAAAAAATTAAATCACCAATAAAACAACAATCATTCTTGAATTATTCTTCTACTCTAAAAAATTCAATTGATCCAATTTATAACGACGTCACCCAAGAACATTTTGAAGAATCTTTAAGACAATTTGTACAATGTGTCAAACAACTTTTTGATTGATAAAAATAAATGGCTTCAATTTACTTTTTATCTATTTTATTATTCTTTTATTATTAAATTATTATTAAAAATATTATCTTTTTTCTCATTTTTATATGAGCTCTACTGAAGACCATCACTACCTTCTTGAAACTAAAAAACAACAAATTCTTACTCAATTAGAAAAAAAGGGAGAAGAAAATATTCCTATAAATCCAAATATATATATTAATCCTTCTATTGATGGAGAACCTTGGAATATTACTTTGTATTTGAAACAAGCAAAAACAAAATAATTTAATTTTTCGTAATATAAAACAAATAATTATCTTTTATTTAATATATAACATAATTTATCAGAATGAAGAAAAAAAAAAAGTAATCTAGAAAGAGAACCAAATGAACTTAAAAAAACTGAAATGAGCGAAGATCAAATCACATCACCACTAATCAAAGCATTAACACAAGAAATGCCAAATCTTATCAACTCATTCGCAATATTTGGTGTTTCTCCGAGTACATCACCAAATACTCCTACTCCTCAAATCCAAGAATTATATAAATATCCAGAATCTTATAAATTTCCTCTAAAAGCTGAACAATTTATTGTTCCAAGAAATCCTACAATTATTCCACTTACAAACAATGAAATTTTCAAAGAACAACCAATTCGATATATCACTATTCTTCCTGGTGAAATAGAAAGTGTGTTATGTGTATGCATACAACAAAATGAATTTTTAAATATTACTTCAGATTTAATAAATCCAACAGGACTTACAACCCAATTATTTAGTGTCAAATATTATACACAAAGAACATATTGTTTCACTACTACATGTCCATATTTTTTAGCTTTATTTCCTTTATTACATTATATCGCAGAACGTAGTTATAGAAATAAATTAGAATATTTCTATAGTGTTGTTCTTCGTTTAACATTACTTTCTCCTAATGCTTGTTTAAATCCGATTAAACCGTCACTTGAAGCATTTATTCATTTGATCTTTCGTATTCCACAAAAACAATCAAATCCATTATCTTTTACAATAGAAAACAACAAATATACTTTTGCTAGATCATCACCTCCTTTACCATTGACTCCACTATCTCAAGCAATGTCAATGGTTGGGGATTACTCATTAATACGACTATTTTGTACAATGTCAGTAGAAGAAATATTAAATATATTAAGTGTAATGCTATGTGGGATGGGTGTTATTCTTATATCAGAAAATATATCTACTGCAACATCATGTATTTTTGGACTTCTATCATTGTTTTATCCATTTTCTTGGCCAGGTATTTTTATTCCATATATTCCTGATGAATTATTTGAATTTTATGAAACTCCAGTACCTATTTTATGTTCTGGAAAATATCCACCATATCAATGTAGAGTAAATGCGTATGTTCAAGAACTTGATCAATCATATCTTTCGTTCTTTATGTCTAAAATAAGTCGTTCATTTATATCCTTACAACCAAATGGATTTACACTCCCTTGGAGAAGTGAGTTATTAAAAAAACTTACTGATTGTATAAATAAATATGTTCCTAAACGACCAACAATGTATGATAGAGAAAAATTTATTGAAATGATGCCTGCACAAAGAGTTATTGAATTTTCAACTGAAGTAATGAAAATTATGAATGAATGCTTGTATAGAAGATTAGAAAATAGTGTTGTTAATTTTTGCACAGAAATGAAAGAATGCTCACTTGAAAATTTTATTCAACAATTTCCTCAAAAATTTAATACTGTTGGTGCATTATTTATGAAAAAATTTGTAGAGTCACAACACTTTAATGTTTGGTGGTATCAATTAGGTTTAAATACATTAAAAATTAAAAGTTCTTCAACTAAATGATATTTAATTTAAAATGATTTTTAGATCATTTAGTTAAAAAGTTTTAATAATATGAAAATTTTAGAATTAATCATTTTTCACCAATATTTGTGTACATTGAATAAAAGTCTTCTTTTCTTTTTGTTGGTTTATAAGAAATACAAGTACCAACTACTAATATTACTATATGAATAATTTCTAATATAGTAATTAAAGAAGTAATAATTTTATAAGTATTATGTGGTGTAATTAATACATGATAACATGTTGGTAACATTTTTAAAGAACAGTAATTTCTTGGCTCTTTCCATCCACAACAATTAAACTATTAAACAATTAATTTTATTAAAAAAGAAATAACATAATACAAACTTCATTTTCAACACCAATAAGTTGTTCTTTTTTTATTATTGAATTAATTGAATAAGTTGTTATTGAATTAGTAAATATTGATAAAATGCAATACATAATAATTAAACAACCAATAGAAATTATTAATAAATACATTTCTTTTTTATCATAATTTACATATTGTTTAAAACAATATACTGAATAACTAATAACAATTGTCCCTGTTATTAATGAAATGTGTGTTACTGATTTACTTGATAATTCATTTTCTGGATGTTTAGAAAATAATGCATTTGTAATTCCATGAAATAATAAAAATATTCCAATTATAATTATTGCAATATTAATATATTTTAAAATTTGTTGTCTTGAAGGAATCATTAATTTATTTTATTCAATATTTTTTTTAGTTTTCTTTTTTTTTAAATCTATTTTTAAATTTTTTATTATTTTATCAAATATTTTTAAGATTTTTTTTTTGATTAATTCTAAAAATATTTATCGATAAAAAGAATGAATTAACAGATTGTTGAGAAATTCCATCTTTATTATCTTTTTTCATTACCATTAATTATTGTTAAGATTGATCATATGCCAATTTACACTCTTTTAACTCTTTTTCTCCAAAAACAATCCCATCTGCTGTCATAGAAACATTTCTCCATTCATCTTTCAATGTTGCTTGTCTTAATTGAATTACTACTTCATCAATAAGCCCATTAAAAATATCACTATGTATCAATAATAAAGCAGAACTTACTTTTACTAACCAAACAAATCCTTCCAATAAAAACATATCCCATATTTTTAACGTTACAGATTTATCAAAATTAATACTAAATAATGCCGTTAACCATTGACCAACTACAAGAAGTAATGGTGTATCTTTTTCTTGGAAATATTTAACTAATGAAGGAATACGATGTTTAATAACCCATTCAATACAAAACACTGCAAATTTTAATAAAGGTAATCCATCACAAAATAGTCCATATAAATTTAGGTCTTTCATAAAATAAGTAAAAATCCATAATGTGTCTTCGGGATTTTGGGTAACCAATAAAATTTGTCCTGCCAAAAATGACATCCCTTGACAATATCCTGTTTTCGGCAATAAAATAGCAAAAGACCGTAAAACATCTCTCAAATCAAGTCGTTTATCTTCTGTCATTTGAGGATCATTTGGAAATGTTCTGTTTACATCTAAATCAATTTTTTGACCAATTTTTTTGAATTCTTCATCATTTACCATTCTTACTTCAGCTTGTACACATAAACTTTGAAATAAATCAGGATTTTTTATAGTATACTGTTCAGGATTAGCCATCGTTAGCCAGTACCTTAATCGAGTTTTATTATCAATTGATTTTACAAAACGACGAATAAATGCTGGAGCTTTCATTTCAATTTCTTCCCAACCATCAAATACTTGTTGTGCAGTATATTTAGAATAGTCTGGTTGTTGCTCAAATGAAGATGGTGTCTCTTCAGGTTTAGACGGTGTATCTCCCATAAACTAAAATGATATTCCCAGATGAGAAATTTCCTTGTTTTTTTAATTGCGAGTTCTAAATTTTATTCCATAAGAATTTCTCATGATAAAATCTTTTATGTACAAGTTGAAAAAAAAAAGTTTAGTTTGCTATATTAAAATGTGATTCAAAACAAATCTTAACAAATCCCTAAAATAAGTTTTGAGATAGGTTAAAAAATACTCAAAAACTAAAACAATAAATTAAAAAAAATTTTAGGGAAATTTATTGGAAAAAAGAGGATATAAACATAACTCAAAGAAGTAAAGGAAAGAGAAGTACCAAGATGAAAAGAAAAGTCAACTAAAGATTTTTCAATCAGAACTTCAAACAACTTGAACTTGAAATTTTCAAAATATGAGGGAAGTAATAACAATACACATCGGTCAAGCTGGGTGTCAACTTGGAAACAAATGTTGGGAATTATTTTGCCTTGAACATGGAATTCAACCAGATGGAACAGCTATTGGAAATACTAATGAAAAAAGATCAGTTATAACTAGTGAAGGTGATACTGCTTATAACGCTTTTTTCCAAGAGCTCCAAAATGGGAGACATGTCCCACGTTCAGTTTTTGTTGATACTGAACCTACTGTAATTGATGAAATTAAAACTGGAGAATACTCTGGACTTTATCACCCTGAAAATTTAATTTGTGGTAAAGAAGATGCATCCTCTAATTTTGCTAAAGGAAAAACAGGATATGAACCATTACTAAACCAAACTATGGATGCTATTAGAAAGGCTACAGAAAATTGTACAGGACTTCAAGGATTTTTCATTTATAATTCAGTTGGTGGAGGAACTGGAAGTGGTTTTACTGCGGCATTATGTGAGAAATTAGCAGATAAATATACAAAAAAGACTAAATTAAATACTGTTATCTGGCCATCACCAAAACTTTCTAGTGGAGTTGTTGAACCATATAACGCTGTGTTAAATACTCACGCTATGATGAAATTTGTAAATTGTACTTTTATGGTTGACAATGAATCAATTTATAAAATATGTCAAAAACAATTAGGAGTTCATAGTCCATCATATTTCCATTTAAATCAATTAATTGCACAAGCCATGAGTTCTATTACTGCATCATTAAGATTTGAAGGAACATTAAATGTTGATTTAAATGAATTCCCAACTAATCTTGTTCCATTCCCAAGAGATCATTTTGCTATGATGTCATATGCACCAATTGTTACACCAGAAAAAGCTATTAGACAAACACTATCAGTTCAAGAACTTACATCATCATTATTTGATCCAAATAGTTTAATGATTCAATTTGATGATATTAATAAAGGTAAATTTATGAGTTGTTGTATGATGTATCGAGGAGATGTTTCATCACGTGAAGTTAATCTTGCTGTTAGTGGAATTAAGAGACAAAACACAGTTCCATTTGTTGGATGGTGTCCATGTTCATTTAAATGTGGTATTAATAGTCAACCAGCTACTGCTGTACCAGGTAGTTCATATGCTTCTACTGCTAGAAGTGCATGTATGATTGCTAACCATACAGCTATGTGCCAGGTATTCCAAAAAGTAAATCAAAACTTTGATTTAATGTTTGGTAAAAGAGCTTTTGTTCATCATTATGTTGGAGAAGGAATGGAAGAAAATGAATTTACTGATGCACGACAAGATTTATATGAACTTGAAGTAGATTATGCCAATCTTGCTCTTGATAACACAGTTGAAGGAGAATCAATGACGGCACAATAAGAATTATTTTTTGTTAGTAATTCTTTAGTTTAAATTTTTTTATTTTAAACTGGGAAAAAACATTCAAACTTTTATTAAATGATATAAATTAATTTAAAAAAAACTATCTTATTAAAGATAATAAATAATTTTTTTAGCTTATTTTTGTGGATTGACACTTGATTAATTATTAAAGTTAACAGAAACAAAGTACTATTCAATAGAAAAGATAAAAGAAGGAAGGGAAAGTAGATTTTTTTGTTTATTAACCCCTTTTTATTTTTTAAGTATTTATATAAAGTAACTTAAAACTATGTAAAAACAGTGTTATGGAAAAGTTCGCTAGTTGGTTAAGAACATCAGTTGTTTATGATTATTATATGAAATATAGACTTCTTTGTCATAATAAATTATTAAAATTCTTTATTGGTGAATTCATTGGTAGTTATTATATATTTTATCTTACAAACTGCACTGCTTACCTTAATTATCCAACATATATTTGTTCTCTTTTAGTTATTTTTGGACTAGGACCAATTATTGAAATCCTTTCACCAGTATGTAATGGACAATTTAATACTGGTATTTCTATTGTTTTCTTTCTTAGAAGAGGACAAACTTTTTGGCAAACATTAGTTAGTATTATCGCTCAATTTTTAGGTGGTTTATTCTCTGTTTTAACTCTAAATTTCTTCTTTACTGATAGTCTTATTGCTTTTTCTTCTAAGACGTATAATTTTATCCAAATTCTTTCTGAATGTTTTGGTAGTTTCATACTGATATTTGTATTGATGCTGATTACTTATAGAAAACAAAATGCTGCTCTTCTTATTCCTGGAGTAATTGCTGCTGGATGTATTGCATTACCAAGTGGAATGATTGTCAATCCATTTATTGTTATTTGTCGATTGATTTCCAATTCAAACAATAACATTTCATGGCAAAGTTGTTTATTGTTATTGTTCTCTGAATTTATAGGATTTACACTTGGGTTTTTAACTGGAGAATTTATTCTTGTTGAAGGAGAGCGTGAAGTCCCTGAGAGTTATTATAAATTAGAAAACGTGGAAATAAAACCAGAGATCTCAAACCAACTTGAAAGAGTTTTCGTTGATTCTCAACAACCAATCAATGAAGAAATACCAATGAATTAAAATTAACCTTTTAATTTTTCAATTTTATCTTAATCTTTTTTTTTTACTTTTATACTTTTTTCTTTTAAAAAAAAACAAATATAAAAAAAATATCTTTCTAGTATATTTTCAATGTTTAAATACTATTAATTTATTTTATTAAGAAATAAAAAAATCATTGAAATAAAAAAAAAACTGCACAGTTAAAGGAGGATTTTTACGTAATGAGAAGATACCCATCCTCTACTTCCATCAATTGTCTCAGCACCAAGCCATCCTTCTGGATCAGAATCATCAAAAATAATAATTTTTTGACCTCTTTTAATGGATAACTCGGTATCAGTTGAAGCGTCATAGTCATGAAGAGCAACAGCATATTTTTCAGGTGGTACACATGCTCTAATTTCATTGTCATAAATTTCTTCAGGTGCAATGTCATCATCTTCATCATATTCTTCATCTGAATATTCACCCTCTTCTTCTTGGTCATATTGCTCATCCTGTTCGTACTGTTCTTCTTGTTGACCATATTGTTCTTCTTCTTGGTTATACTGTTTTTCTTGTTGGTCAGTTTGTTCTTCTTGTGGTTGTTCTGGTTCTTGTTGAATAGGTTTTGAGTAATTAGTAACAGGAGGAGGTGGTGGTGCAGCAATACTAATTTTAGATGGAGGAGGAGGTGGTGGTGCAGCAACGACAACACCAGTAGAATTTGAAGTAGTAGTTACAGTAACAGGTGCTGGAGGTGGTGGTACAGCATTAACAGGAGTAACAGGTGTAGAAGAAGGAGCTGTATTTTTTTTTTTTTCTTCCTTCTTTTTATCACGATGGTGATGATGTCGTTTTCCAGTGTCATGTTTTTTACGTTCCAATGGAGGAAGACCTTTTGACTTTCTTACTTGGTTAATTAATTTTCTAAATGAATCTTTCCAATACTCACCATCTTCTTCTCCTTCTACAATCAATTTCCAAGTTCTTTTTTCAGTTACTAACTGAAATCCATATCTCATTGAACCATCTTTATCTTTATTTCTTGTAGTAATCATATCAGTGACTTGAGACATATCTATGTGTCCTTTTAATGAACTGCAAGAGTCATTAGTGTAATAATCTAATCTGAATGGATTACGTGGAGTAGTTTGGAACCATCTTTTCTTCCAGCTTTTATGTGATCCACCTTGTTTTGTTACCCAACCACGAATGGCTGGAATGGAGTCTTCATCAATATCAAAGCTCATAGTTATTTATATCAAATTTTAAAGTTCTAGTTCTGTATATTTTTATAGAAAATTAATGGAATGTTATTTTTATTATTTATATTATTTTTTTTAAATACATTTTTCTCTTTTCTAATAAATCAGTTTTTATTACTACTTCTATGTACTAAACTTGGTAGACTCATTTTAGTATTTAATCATTTATTGATTGATTCATTTATTTATTAGTTATGTTATTGTTTTATCTTTTTTATAATTCTTTGAAGAAGATTCTAGTTAGCAGAAAAGATAATGACCGTTTTTTTTTAACTATTTATATTTTTATCATTAACTTCTATTTGATGATATTATCCTAACATCAACTCTGAAAAAAAATAGAAAAGTTTATTTAAATAATCGATATTTAGTATTTTGTTATAGAAATACAAAAAAATAAAACAAAAGAGTTAAAAAAAAGTTATACCAAAAAAAGAAGAACTTTTTTGTTTTATGTAGCATAGATTCATTTATTGGCTCTTTTCCACTTGTTTTGATTTAAAAAAAAAAGAAAAAAAAAAGAATTTTAAAATTATTTTAACTCTTTATGAATCAGTTCACTACTGATGATATTATTAAAGATTTAGAATATCTTAATAAACGTATTCATAATAAAGAATGTACAAAAAAGAAAAAAGTTACAATTGAGTCGATACCATTTACTATTGGATACTTAAAAAAAGAAGGGGGGTTTGTATTATTCAAATTCAACTTTTTCATTAATAAAAAGGTAGTTAAAAGTATTGACAAATTAGATTAGATGTTATTGTTATTGAAGGAGTCATTCCTACAAAGACTATTGAATTGTATGAATTCTTTTTAAATTTTGAGACATACGTCCAATATCTTCCTTTTATTTACAAGTTAAATTTTATTCAGAAAGATAATATTTTTGATTTGGTTGTAGAAATGGAATTTAATTTAATTGGATTCAATAAAAACGCTCTTTGTCTAAAAAGAGTTATCAAAAAATTTACAGATAAAACATATATTCTTTCATTGAGTGTTACTCATGACAAATCAAAAATTATTCCATTTAGAGATAGTGCAATATTAATGCAGGCAATCACCCTTGAAGAAACTAAAGGTGGTTGTCTTATATCTGATTATGAAATTATTCAACCTATTCCTTGGCTTCAATCAAATGATATTAATGAGTCTCTTGAAAGGTTTAGTTATATTCCAATCAGAAGAATGAAATCATGTTTTGATTATTTAAAATATGACAAAACTTTAGAAAGAATAAATATAATTAATACTATTACTATTGAGCGTATTGGTCTTGAATTAACTCTAAATGGAAAACATGATAGTATTGGAGAAGTTTGGTATGATTCTAATAATACAAGAATTACATGTGTTGAATTTGTATGTGACCAGGCGTCATTTATTGTTGAAGGTTCAATTCAAAAGATATGTGAATTTAGGTTATCAAGAGAAACACTTATAGAACTAGTTTTTCAAGACCGTTGTAGGGTAGTAGAAACAACTGATAGTTTAACAACAATCTTTCATAAATCATGTCCTAATTCTTATCAAAATGATGGAGAAGATATTTCATTTTCTTCTTTTATTTATTCAGAGAATTGTGCTTTAGTATATTTTAAGAGTTTATCCACTCTTTCTTCTCAAGAAGAAAATAAAGGTATTCAAAAATATAATTTTGGTCCAAGTTACATCTATGTCTGTGGTTGTGAAGGAACTTGGAATATTCAATTTAATGTTAAAGTAGTTGCTAAAACAACATTACCTCGTTTAAATGATAAAGTTGCTTTACACGCTATGTTAGAATTCTTAAGAAATATAGAACTTTCTTTTCAAAAAGTTTCTCCTGTTCATAATTACAAACAACCATTAACAATTATTACAAGTACAGATCCAGTTATTCCTCCATTATTAAAAATTCAATTACCTCTAATGGTTAAAATAAGTCGATATTTTACAAAGGAAGATATGACTGCACTTTCTCGAACAAACAAACAACTTAAAGAAATGATGGAATATTGTAGTAAACTTGTAATTCAAAATAAACCACTACCACAACAACATCCTTTTTATTACACAGAACATCCTCTTCAAAACTCTTCTCAGTGTTTTTATGAAGAATGGAAAGGAGCTACTCCAAAACATTCAGTACTAACAGGCCATACAAATTTGATCCGAGCATTAGATATTAGTGATGATTGTTCATTGTTAGTTAGTGGGAGTTCTGATAGAAAAATTAGACTTTGGAATTTACAAGACGAATCATCAAGAACGTTTGTTGGTCCAAATAGTTGTTTGGTATCCACTAAATTTATTATGAATAATTTTATTGCATCTGGATATCATTGTGGTACTATTAAATATATTAATTGGTCAGACTCTCGTGAGTCTCAAGTTTTTGATGTTAACGAAGGTAAATTAGAGGGATTTCTTCCATTGAGGGATATGGACTTTATTGTTTGGAATGAAAAAATTACTGCATATAGATATTCTGACATGAGACAAACCTTATTATTTACATACTCTGGTCATCAAAGAAAAGTCCAAATTGTAAAACCATTTAGTTCATTATTTCTTAGTGGTTCTGCTGATAGAACTATTCAATTGTGGGATCCCTCAATTTCTAATCCAAGAATTTCTAAAATAAAAGGAC